ATGGAGCCACCGTGCCCCTTCCTGTTTGGGCAGCAGTTAATCTTCAAGACACCATTCCAGTCCTACAGCGCCCATCGGCGCATCTGCCCTGGCTTCTGCTGGGCCTGTTGCCACCCTAGAGGGGCCTGCAGGCTCCAGGGCCTGGGGCCAACCAGACCAGCCAGCCCCTGACTCAGGCGCCGGGAGCCTAGGGCCCAGAGACGCCAGGGGGTTGCACAGCCAGTCGGTGAGTGAGTGGCCCCTTCCCTCCCTGCTGTCTGGGGAATGCCTCTGAGAACATCCAGGCTGGTGACTTCTTTCTTCTCTTTGTTTTTTTAAGTTTTTTAATTTGTTTGAAAGATTTACACAGAGGGAGAAGCAGAGAGACAGAGATCTTCCATCCGCTGGTTCACTCCCCAAATGGCCACAATAGTCAGGGACAGGCCAAGCCAAACCCAAGGGCTTAGAACTCCATCGAAGTCTCCCACGCAGGTGCAGGGGCCCAGCCCATGGGCCATCTTCTGCTTCTAACCCCAGGTGCACTAGCAGGGAGCTGAATCAGAAGCGGAGCAGCCAGGTCTCCAGCTGGCGCTGGTGTGGGATGCTGGCGCCCGGCGGCGGCTTTACTCACTGTGCTACAGCACCTGCCCCTCTTTTACTTTACTTTAACCTGCGGGAAACATGGGGACACTGGAGGAAGGGGTCTGTTTAGTTCTGGGCAGGGCTGCTGTCCCTGGGGCTGTGATGGCAGGGGCGGGGCAGGCTCCTGGCCCCCTAGGGAGAACTTGAATAGGAGTGGCAATGTCTTTTGGGCCCCAGCTTCCCCCTTGTCCCTGCTCAGCACCCCAACTTGTGCTGAGGCCTCGCTTTTCCCAGTACCTCCAGGGTAGGCCCCACTTCCTGTCCATCGCCTCAGGGCCCTCCTTCTCCATGGAGAAACAGGTGTTCTCCCCAGTTTACAGGTAGGAGATGGAGACTCCGGGGCTTATGTTCCTCGCCCTGGGTCACCCAGCCTCCAGTGGTTCAGTCCGGCACCCGGAACACTGTCTAGTATATGCCAAGCCCTATCCCCTAACCTAAGTCCCACACGGGGCTTGACCCCTGTGCAGTGAACAGGGGCTCTGGGGGGGCTACGTGGGACTGTGTAGCTCGCGGTGGTGCCCCAGGACCCGACGCATAGCGGTCACCCAGTGAACCTTCGTGCAGTGAACAAATGAATGAATGAATCAGTCCATGGGGGCTTAGTGACGAGAGCTGCAGACCCGAGCTAGAGCCCTGCTGCTCCTCACTCTGAGCACTAACAAGGGCTGCCAGCACTTATTAAGTACCACCTGCATGCATTCCCAGCCTGAGAGTCCATGGATTCCCAAAGGCATTGTGAACCCCTTTTACGGATGAGGAAAGTGAGGCTCAGAGAAGGTGCTGGCCCCAGGGCTTCCAGAGACAGATTTGGGACCCAACCACCCTCCCTCCCTCCTGTGCACGCCTCGGTTTCCCCCTCTACCCAGCAGGAGGAGCCAGAGCCATGGCGCTGACGTGGCTGTCCCCGCAGGTGGCCTGAGTGTGGGTGACTTCCGGAAGGTGCTCATGAAGACGGGCCTGGTGCTGGTGGTGCTGGGCCACGTGAGCTTCATCACAGCCGCGCTCCTCCACGGCACGGTGCTGCGCTATGTGGTCACCCCCCACGACGCCGTGGCTCTGCAGTACTGCGTGGTCAACATCCTCTCAGTCACTTGCGCCATCGTGGTATGGCCAGACTGGCAGGGTGCTTGGTGGGAGGGAGGGAGGGGCTGAGAGGTCGTCCATGGGTCCCCACCACGGCCCCGGGTGGGTAAGCACTAACCCCTGCTCCACCACTTCCCAACTGTACCTGGCACTCACACTTCTTGGCCTCCGTTTGCTCATCTGTAAAACAAGGAGAGTCCTGGGGGGTGTTGAGTGAGTTCATCCACATAGAGTGCTTAGCACCATGCCTGACACATGAAATACTCAAGGTGCCACTGGACAGAAGGATGGAACATCAGGTCAGCTTGGGAGGATCCGGGAGAGTTTTACAGAGGTGGAGGTCTCTGAGCTGGGCAGTGCTGGATAAAGAGACCTTCCCAGATTGGCTGCAGGAATGAGGCATGCTGGGGCCAGCAGGTAGGACAGGAGGCTGAGATGGCATCCAAGTATGGAGACTGGCAGGTGCAGAGGTATGGCAGTGGGCAAGGCAAGATGCTGAGCAAACCCGTGCGGCAGGAGCTTAGCCCTAGGCCTGCTTTACAGCCACTGCCCCAGAAATGGCCGGCCAGGCCATCGGATGTGGATGTCGGGGAGGGGGCCTGCAAGGGTCGGGCTTGTAAAGCTCTCTCCTGTCTGTCAGAGGCGGCTGTACCATTTGGGCAGCATCCCCAGGCCGCTGTCTGAGCTCCACCCTTGCCACCTCCTGGCTGAGGGCTGTACCCCCCCACCACCCCGCCGCCGCCCGTGGCCTGCGGGCTGGGGTCTGTGAGGACGCGGGGGAGGGCAGTGTCCTGGAAAAGTGCACCTGCTTTTGTTGTTGAGCGTCAGGAGCCCCCCCCTCCCCGGGGTGGGACAGCTTCAGTGCGGCCTCATCGGTTAATCCTCGCTGCTCCCAGCACCGGGGGACCCTCATGGCCTCCATCTCACAGGGGGAAGCCCAGACCCAGGGATTACCCAACCTCCTGCCAACAGCAAGCGGCCCAACGGCCCTTGAACCTGTTTGCCTGACACCAAGATGGGTCTAGCAGAGCAGGGCTGGGCCCAGAGAGGCTGAGGCACTTGGATGTGGCTGCACAGCGAATTAAAGACTTGGCTGGACCAGCAGCCAGGCCCCCTGGGGTACCGCCTGCCTGCCACGGATCCAGCCCATGCCTGGTCCCTGAGGAGGAAGGTGAGCTGAGCGGGGCTGAGAGCTGTGGCCGGCAGCTGCAGGGCTGCACAGGAAAGCCTTGCTGAGGATGAGCAGGGCTGGAGGGAGCTGCCCGGTAAGGGGGAACCGGGGTGGGGGTGCTCCTGGTGACAGCGAGGGCGCCCTTGGCAGCATGGTGAGCCGCGAGACCGGGGCTGGGGCCGGTCACGCGGAGCCCAGAACAATAGGAGGTTGCTGGGGTTCGGCGTTCTATTCCATACAGCCTCCTCTTTTTTTTTTTTTTTTTTTGACAGGCAGAGTGGACAGTGAGAGAGAGACAGAGAGAAAGGTCTTCCTTTTGCCGTTGGTTCACCCTCCAATGGCCGCCATGGCTGGCACGCTGCAGCCGGCGCACGCGCTGATCCGAAGGCAGGAGCCAGGTACTTCTCCTGGTCTCCCATGGGGTGCAGGGCCCAAGCACTTGGGCCATCCTCCACTGCACTCCTTGGCCATAGCAGAGAGCTGGCCTGGAAGAGGGGCAACCGGGACAGAATCCGGCACCCCGACCGGGACTAGAACCCGGTGTGCCGGTGCCACTAGGTGGAGGACTAGCCTATTGAGCCGCGGCGCCAGCCAGCCTCCTCCTTTTTAGCAAGTTGCTTTAGCTTCTGACCAGTTGGGTTCGTTTCTTCCCAACCCTTTCCCTGTGCCCCGTGCTCCCAGTGGTTGGCGTGCCTCCTGGTATGTGCCTGCAGGCGGGAGACCCAGGCCCAGCATTTCGCAGAGGGGAGTCACGGAGGGTGGTGCGGGCCAGGGTGGTTGTGCTCCAGGGCTGGGCCACGAGGAGGCGGAGCCTCGGTGCGGATGCGAGGGAGGCCCACGCAGAGGGTGAGCTGCGGCTGGCTGGCCCCAGGTGACTCTGTCCGGGTGGTCCTGACCCCTATGCCTGCTCTCCCCCAGGTCATCACCGCGGGCATTGCAGCCATTGTGTTGTCACGGTACCTCCCCAGCATCCCTCTGGTACGCAGCGCCCTGGGCTGGGGTGGGGGGCGGGGGAGGTGCAGCAAGGGCCTGGCCTGCCTGAAGGGGGTGTGGGTGACCCTCAAGGAGGCCCAAGCGGGCTGTGGGGGTCCCAGCCCCGTGTCCGCTGACCAGTGTGGCTCCCCCGACAGCGCTGGATGGTGTTTAGCTCGAGCCTGGCCTGTGCTCTTCTCTCTCTGACCTGTGCCCTTGGCCTCTTGGCCTCCATCGCCGTGACCTTTGCCACGCAGGGCCGGGCATTGCTGGCTGCCTGCACTTTTGGGAACCCTGAACTCCTGGCGCTGGCACCCGACTGTCCCTTTGACCCCACACGCATTTACGTGAGTGTCTCTGCTTGGGATGAGGGCTGCCCAGGCGCTCCACAGGGGTGGGCAGGGTCCCTGGAGTCCGCGCATCTCTGTCCCTGTGCCCCCGCAGAGCTCCAGCCTGTGTCTCTGGGCCATCGCGCTCGTGCTGTGCCTGACCGAGAGCGTGTTTGCTGTGCGCTGCGCCCAGCTCACCCACCAGCTGCTGGAACTGAGGCCCTGGTGGGGGAGAAGCAGCCACTACACGGTGAGTCGCCCCCACCGCCCCAACTCCTTGGCTTTTCGGGGAGCCCTGCTGGGGAGCCCCAGCCCTCATACGAGGCCCCACCTGGAGAACTGGGGCCAAGTGAGAGAGGCGTGGAGGCCCAGACAACAGGTCTCCCAGCACGGCACACAGCTGACTCCCGGGCCTGGGAGGGGTCCGCAGGGAGAGGGAGGGGCGTCAGGGCCCTCACTGCAGGCACTCCTGGGGCCTGACCCGGCCCTTGCATGGGGGTCGTACTGATGCCCCTTTGCCCTCAGAGACCCTCCCATCCCCCAGTATCCTGGAGGAGGAGGAGACCCTGGCCCAGACCCAGGGGGCCTGGCAGTTGCCTGTGTCTCTGCAGATGCAGGAGAGCCCAGAGCCCACGGAGGGCAATGACCTGCTGAGCTGCACCAGCTCTGTGCCGCTGACCCTCTGAGAGCAGAGGCCTCGCCTGGGCCCCGCGCCTGCAACTGAGTCCACACCGGGACCAGGCCAGGATCCCTGGAGCCGGCCCAGGAGGGCTCAGTGGACCCTCGGGGACCGGGGTGGGGCTTTCTCCTGGCCACCCTGCCCATTGCACTGAAACGAGACTTTATTGTGAAGTTATTAAAAAGAACAGAGATGCTCCATGTGGCTGCATGCATGGGGTAGGGACCTGGAGTGGGGGATTTGCGGGGGGAGGGGGGCTGTGCTGCTTCCCACACAGGACGCTGTGGGGCTCTCTAAGGTGCATGTGCCCGTCTGCCTGCGGGTCTGTGTGTGCATAAGAGAAAGGCGACAAACAGAGGGTCCCGGGGCTGCGGGGCTGCGTGTGGCTGGCCGCGCTGAGAGGCAGGCGGGGGCTGTGGGACCTGCAGCCTGAGGGCTGGGGCCCTGGGGGCAGCCGTCTCCTTGGCATCGTGGCCTCCAAGAGCTGGGGCAGGAGGGGTGAGGCCCTGCTGCAGGGGAGGATGTCGCAAGCAAACCGCTTCCTCACACACCCCAGGAATCCCTCTCTGCCCACCTCCCCTGCGCTCGGCTCCCCTCTGCCCAGGCTGAGACGGGCAAGAGGGGAGCCTGGCCCGCCACCTTGTGGGGGGAGGGGAGCTGGTCGGTTGACCTTGGGAAGGGCCGCTGACCCAGGGGCAGACAAAGCAGCCTGCGTCCGTCTCTCACATTGGGGGGGTGCTATCCGGTGCGTGCTGGGGCCTCCCCTCACGGTGCAGGCCCGCGGACCGGGTCCCCAGCCTGGCCCCCAGCCTGGACAGACACAAAGAGGAGGAAGCCGGGAGGAGGGGGCGCGGACTGCCGGCGCTCAGAACTGGGAGGCGCTGCTGGGGTCGCACTGCAGCAGGCGCACGATGGATGGGTCGCTCTTGGCCCCGCGGATGAACTCCTCCAGGGACAGCTTGCCTGTGGACGAGGGGAGCCGTGAGCGCGGCGCGGGCAGGGGAGAGGGAGCGCGCCCGCCCCGCCCCCCCTGCCCCTGCCCCCTCACCGTCATTGTTTGTGTCCATTTGGCGGAAGATTTTCTCGGTCCTCTTCTCCGGGGTCGACTCGTCCTCTGGCATCTTCATCACGGACGAAACCATCTTGTAAATGGCCTGGGGGAGGGGCGGGGAGGGAAGCAGGAGTGAGCGCCCCCTCCCCCGCCCGCCCAAGATTCAGAGTCTCGCAAGCAAGCAAGCACGTATGCGGCCCCCAGGGAGACAAGTCTGGGAAGGCTTCCCAGAGGAGGGGGCTGTGGGAGCGGGCCGTGCCCGAATCCCTGTGCAGGGCATTGCTGGCCGTGCGGAAGCTCGGAGAGGGAGCCGAGGATTTATAGATGAGGGGGTCAGGAGAGATGCTGGGGACCAGCGGGCCCCACGCCAAGGGCCTGCCACACCGGGCTTAGGGCTCATGCCTGGGGCAAGGTATCAAGTTGGCGCAGCGTCTCAGGAGCGCCAGCGGCCCGCGCGCGGTGGCCTACAGGGGGCGCTGCACTGAAGGGGTGGCATTGGGATGCGGTGCTGCCTGTGGCCGGCAGGGGGCGCAGGGCCGCGTCGAAGGCTGGAGGGCCGGACGGATGCAGGTGGGGAACCCAGAGTGGGTGGAACATTATGCAAACGAATGCAGATTAGCATCCACTGAGGCGCGGGGACAGCCTGTTCTCTGCAGGGCAGAGGGAGCTCCCGACGAGACTCGAGGGAGCCTTTTTGCGCTAACCCTACAGAGCAGTTAAGGCCCGGCCTGTGGAATGGGCTGGGTGAGGGGTCACCCAGAGCCCGAGGGCCGGACCTGGGGCATCAGATGGACCTGACCAACACTGCCTCCAGGGAGCCTCCCATACACTCCCCACCCCCACCCCCAGAGCCAACTTCAGCCTCCGCGCTGGTCTCTTCCAGCCTCCTTCCTCTGGGTCTGTCCCCCACGCTGCTTTGGAAAGCTTTTTCCACACCCAGCTCTCCACTGCCACGTCCCTGGGCGAGTACAACCGCCCCCACGCTCCCCTCCCACTCCCCTCCCACCAGGCCCAACGTGCACCCAGCTCGCTCTGGATGCTGCTGCCCCCCACTCCTCCTTGGGGCTCAGTTTATGCCACGCTTCCTTGGCCAGGCCTTCCCTGACCCAGAGGACACCCTCCTGCAAGTAGTGCTGCGTCTTGGTGGGACCGACCCAGGGATCAGGGATGGACACGCAGCCAGCACCATACCCAGTACTGTGCCGAGGCTCCCGGCACCTGGCAGGGACGCCCCTGCTTAGGGGTCACTGCCCTCTGTGTCAAGGCCAAGCCATCCAGCCCTTGGCACTCAGGACGCTACACTCTGCCGGCCGCTGACCTCGCCACCACGCAACCAGACACCCGGGCCTGTCCACCCTGCCGGCCTTGCCTGGACCACCCGCTGAGCCACCGGGTAACAGGTGTTTGCTCTGCGCCAGGTCCTTTGCAGACCTTCCATTTTCCAGATAAGAAACCAGGGCTCAGAAAGGGAGATAAATTTGGGGGGAGGGGGCGCTCAGGAGTTGTGCAGATTAAGTTGCTGCTTGAACCACCTATGTCCCGTAGCACGGGGCCCGGGCCCGGCCTTGGACAGGTACTTGGCTTCTCTGAGCCTCAGTTCCCTTATCTGTGAAACAAAAGTCATCAGAACTCCCCGGCTAGGATCGTGCAGGGGATTCAATGCGACTGTGTGTGCAGACGGTTGGAACAGCAGCCCCGAACGCTCCTATCACGTCCACCCTGCCCCTCTGAGCCCTGGGCCCCAGTCAATGCCAGTGGCCTGTGCAATTCTCTCCCCCACCAGAGCAGGGGCCCCAAGAGACACAGCCCCTCCCCTTCTAGCGCGCCCACCCCCAGTAAGGGCCAAGTCCTGGGAAGGACTGAGCAGTACCCCAGCGGGCGCCCACTCCCTTGACCACAGTCCTTCTCCTGACCTCCTGATTAATTGTCCAGAATCGCTGCTTGCTCACAGCATTATCGGAGCCGCCTTGTCATTAATCAGGCACTGGGGTTGGCAGAGCACTGTCTGCTCCAAGTGTCTGGGGCCTCTGGTCTGCCGGGAAGGAAGCCAGGGCCAAGGGAGCAGAGACCAGCCAGATAGGGGGCTCGGAGGCCCAAGGAAGGGGACTGGTGTGATGGATGCCTGGGGGAGTGACGGCTCCAGCAGGACCGAGCTCTGCTGAGGCACCCCAGGGCAGCCACAGTAAGTGTGGAGACGGGAGCACTCCTCCCTGGTGTCCAGCTGCTCCCTGCTTGATCCTGCTTCCGTCAGGACCCCCAGAGTTATGCCCCCATCCAGCAACTCAAGAGTTAATGCCTGACCCACTGGAGTTAGTGACCACTGAGGCTTCCTGGCCCCCAGGAGAGGCACCGTGAGGGAATCCCTTCCCACGGCAGCCAGTTCTCCTCGGGCGGCAGAGAGCAGCCCAGACCCTAAGCAGGAGCAGCCAAGTTCGGAGTCTCGCGGGGGCTGGACGCGTTGGAAGGGAGAATGGTCCGCAGAGCTGAGGCGCCAGATGGGAGAGAACTGTGAGACGCAGGAGGGAAGGGGCCGAGAGCCGAGAGCCATGCGAGCTGGGAGGCAGCATCCCTCACTCAGCCCTTCTGAGGGCTTCCAAAAAGCCGTTCTGCGAGAGCAGAGGGTGTGCAGGGGAGAAGAGAGTAACTGATGAGCGCTAACGTTGGCCAAGCGCCAGCTGGACGCCGGGCCTTGGCCACAGCCCCTGTCCCACTTCAGCCCTCCAAAGGCCTCATGAAGCCAGGGCTTAACACGGGCCGGAACCTGCAGAGGCTCAGGCAAACATGTGGGCCAGGAGCTCGACCAGTCAGAGTGGACCAGAAGCCTCCCCGTCCTGGGTGCTGGGCTGAGGGGACAGGGCCCTGGAAGGATTTCAAAAAAAAGGTCATGCACATCCCACTGAAGCTGGTACCAAAAGTGGGGAGGGCACTCAAAGCAGGTCCCTAAGTCTCATAAGGTCAGCATCGCTGGCCCCAGCCAGAGACAGGAAGCCAGAGTTCCCGGCTGGGAATCCAGAGCCCTCTCAAAAAGCAGCTGTGGGGGCTGGTGACCTGGCACAGCTGGTTAAGCCACTGCTTGGGCTGCCTGCATCCCGTATCACAATACCTGGGCTCAGTTCTGCCTCTGCTTCCTATGCAGCTTCCTGCTAATGCACGCCCCGGAAGGCAGCAGGTGTGTAGGCTCAAGTACTTGAGCCCCTGTGACCCACATAGAAGATGGAGATGGAGTTCCTGGCTCCTGGCTTTGGCCTAGCCCAGCCCCAGCTGCAGATCCAGCAGATGGAAGATCTCATTCTCTCTCTGTCACTCTGCCTTTCAGGTAAATAAAAATAAATTAACATTAAAAAAAATGCTCTGTGTGATGGCCACCCCAAGCTTGACTCCACTTACAAGCTGTGTGACTTCGGGAAAGTTATTGCACTTCTCTGAGCCTCGTGGGGTCGTTGTATGGATGCACTGAGCTCCTGAGTATAAGCACCTCCCTCAGTACCCAGCCCTCAGTGAACCCTGTATTAATTAGTCGGAAGGTGACTGGGTATCCGGATGCCATGTGAACAGCGGAGCTAATCTGCCCACTCACAGGCTGTGTGGCCATGGGCAAATGCCTTTACCTCTCTGAGCATCTGTTTCCTCCTCAGTAACTGAGGACAGAGAGAACATAGCTGCTTGTACTCTGCAAAAATCCAAGTCACGAGAGACAAAGAAAGGCTGAGGAACCATTCCAGGTTAAAGGGACTAACGAGACACGACAACGAAATGCAACCCGTGATCCTTGACCAGGGCGGGAAAAAAAAGCCATAAAGAACACTATGGAGACACCGGGCAAAACCGGACTACGTAGATTAGATAACAGCACTGTTTTCTATGTTAACTCTCCCGACTTCGATAATCATATTATGGGTTATGTAAGAGAACGTCCTTATCCTTGGGAAATATATCCCGGTGTATCGGGGGTAAAGGCTCAACGTTCGGAACAAGAGTCCCCCCCGCCCCAAGCTGGCATGCACACACTCACACACAAAGATAAAGCGACGGTGGCTAAATGATCAGTTGGTCAAGGGATCTGGGAGTTTTCTGCACTTTAAGTCCGGAACGATTTCCTACTAAAGAATCTCCATGGGAGCGTAAGGTTAGCACCTGCCACTGCTTGTCTACAAGACCTGCTGAGAGGCTAAAGCGGGGTGGCGGGTGCAAGCTGCCGGGCCCGCCGGGCATGTGGGGGTCCGGGGCCCACCTGCACGATCTCCAGCATCTCCTCGCGGCTGATGTAGCCGTTGCCATCCAGGTCGTACATGCTGAAGGCCCACATGAGCTTCTGCTCCAGGCGGCCGCGGGAGGTCACGCTCAGCGCGATGATGAACTCCCGGAAGTCGATGGTGCCGTCGCTGTTGGTGTCGAAGGTGCGGAAGACGTGCTCGGCAAACTTGGAGGCGTCGCCGTAGGGGAAGAAGTTGGCGTAGATCTTCTTGAACTCGTCCACGTTGAGGATGCCTGTGGGACAGTCCTTGAGGAAGCCCTTGTACCACTCCTGCAGCTCCAGCTCCGAAAACTCCGTGTTCTCTCGCAGGTCCTGCAGCATCTCGGGCCGCAGCTTGCTGTTCTGCTTGCCCATGGCTACCGAGCCAAGTCCCACCTGGGTCCCCAAGAGGGTCAAGGGACACAGAGGGGTGATCAGGCCCTGCTGGCCACCTGGCCCCACTGCAGACGCCCCCTCCCCCCGACACGAGCCACCCCAGCCTCTCCTTGGACCCAGTGAGAGGGAGGATCTGGCCCAAGATCACACAGCCTGCACCCAGACGCCCTGCCTCTGTGACAAGCTGCACACTGCTTCCCCGGACTCTCACTTCCCTGGGAATACACCTGGAGAGGGAGGAAGGGGAGGCGGCTCGTGCTTGCTGAGGGCCCCTCGGTGCCAGCCAGAGAACCACCACAAGCACACATCACTTCCCCCTTGCAAAGGGACGTAAGGGGAATAGCCCCACTGGCCAGCTGTGAAGGCAGGCTCGGAGAAGTAAGGTCCCCCTACCGCGGCACAATGGGAAGGACTTCAGAGTCGTCCAGGGAAGTGCAGAGAGATCTCTGGCCGTCCTCGCTCTTCCCCACTGTTCCTGCACTGCCTCCCACACACCTGCTCACCACAAAACACACCTGCGGCCCAGACACGGCCCTGCTCTCATACCACAGGTGTGCCTGACAACAGGCAGCACAGAGGAGGTGTCTGGGCTCCAAAGCCAGATCACCCGAGTCTGAATCCCAGCCTGCCTCTTACCAGCTAAGTGACTTTGGACAAGTTCCTGGCATGCTCTCTGCTGCACCTGTAACGGGGGGGTCGTAACAGTACTTACCTCGTAGGATTGTCATGGGGATGAAATTGGTTAATGCATGTGAAGCACTTAGAGGCATGCCTGCACAGGTAAGTGCTACGTACATGTTAAATAAATAAAAATGATGGACGTGTGCCCAGATGCCACAAGACACAAGCACACCACTATGCAAAGGGAAGGATACTGTCACATATGGCTGCAGCCCTGTCGCTCCCTTAGCAGCCCACACGCACTGGCCCTGCACACATGACAACCTCCTCCCTGCTCCACAACTCTGACACAGGGCACCACGCACAACTCCCATACCCTAGGCAGAAAAACATACCAGCCCACGACCCCACATGTCTCACACACACCGTCACACGCCAACTCGCATGCCGACACCTCTCACATGGCCAGCTGCACGTGGGACCTTCAGGCACCCTTGCCATCTTTCTTTCTTTCCTCAGGGTGCTGCCGGGTCCCAAGAGAGGGAACTGCAACCTTCCTCAGACCCGCATGGGGACCCTTTTCCTGGGAGAATCCTAGCCCATCCAACCCTCCCCAGCACTTACCTGTCTTCTATCCCCAAAGTCCCCTCAGCACAGGAGGGTAGTGTGAGGAGGCTGAGGGAAAGCAACAAAGGCAATGGAGGGCGCCGACCCAGCATTCCCAGCAGGGATGTAGGGGTGCGGCGGGGATCCCCAGCCCAAGCTTGAGCTCCAGGCTATAGGGATCAGGGAGAGGGGGTTGCTTCGCTGTGCCTGGGTTCTGTGCACATGTGGGTGGGTGTGTGTGTGTGTGAGAACACATGTGCCTGCATTGCATGGGTCTCCCATGTGTCTCTATCCATGCCTGTGCACGTGCGTTAGATATGCGTGTGCCCAGGTAGGTACCCGTCACCGTGCAAGGGGAATGTGCCTGCGTGGCCATTGGGGGCACCTGTGTGTCCTCAGCCGCGTGTCACACGCGTGTTTCTGACAGCTGATGCCCCTCCTTTCCCAGTCACCTTCTCTCCTGCCCCGGCTAAGCACCCACCAAACAAGTGTGGGGAGGAGAATGCGTAGGCTGGAGCGGGGGAGTGTGTCCCTTACTCCCCCCTTCAGGGGCCAAAAAACTGGGTCACAGGGGCGGGGGCAGAAAGATAGGCTGGCCAGGGGAGCTCCTCCAGCGCCTCCTCCTCCCTACCACCCTCGGGGCCGCCCCTCCTAGTTGGATGAAGAAGCCGCTGTCCTGCAGAGCCCCCGGAACCCCAAAAATGGAAAGAATCCCGCAGCTTGACCTGAGAAACCCGCCCCAAGGACCCCCTCGGAATTCCCCCAGGCTCTGGCCCTGAGCCTCCGCCTCCATCCCTTTGGCTCTGAGAGCGCGCCCGGAGAGTGCCCCTCCGGGAGAGGGCGCTCGGGGCGGCGGACACGCGGCTCCCGGGCGCGGGCCCCTCGGCGGTCAGCACCCTGGAGAGCGCCGCGGTTCCCCGGGGGAGCCCCCGCCTCCTGCGCCCCGGGCTGGAGGATTCCCGGGGGCGCGGGCAGCCGCGGCGTTGGAGAGCCCTGGACGTGGGCCCCGGCTCCGGGACTGGCCCTCCCCACATCGCCGGCCCCCGGCCGGAGCGGCCCCCACTCACCCAGCCACGCCGAGACACCGACTGCGCAGGGAAGGCGGCGCTGCTGCGGCGCGCGGCGGCAGAGGCGGCCGGAGGGGCGGGCGGGACTGCGAGGGAGACGCCCCGCGGCGTTGGCCCGGAGCCCCTCCCCTGGGGGGGTCCCCTCCAGCCCCGGGGGGAGGGGGAGCGGAGCGAGATGCTCCGCCCTCAGAGGGAAGGGGACGCCCTCACTTCCCGGGGCCCCTCTCCGGGACTTGTGTTCCCCACCGGGGGCTGGGGGCAGGGCCGAGGCCCCCTCTCTCATTCCCGCGACCCAGGCAGCCGGAATGGCGGGGCGGTCGGCGCTGAGGTCTCTTTCCCAAGCCGCGGAAGATCCAGTCCGCCCCACCGCGACTTCCCCATCCCCACCTGGGCGCCAAGCCGCCTCGAGGACGGAACCGGGATCTGGAACACCCCGACCCCGGCGCCTCAACTCCGGAGCTAACTGACCTCGGGGCTCCTGGGGGGCGGGGGCGCCCACTCCTCCAGCCCCTAGAGAGGTTTCCGGGGTCAGACACGCCCCCTGCCCTACCTGCACCTTGGTGAGCCGGCCCGCACCTCCTGCCGCCTACCAGCGATCTCATTCCCCGACCCAGCTCAGAATTAACCCCACCTCCCAACGTCCATGGAAACTGCTCCCTGCCCCCACATCGGGGAGACCCCCGCTCTCTCTGCCCGGGCGCACGGGCGGTGAGGCCAGGGAGCACCTCCGGCTGGGGGTCGGGAGGTGCGAGGACCCCCGTGCCTACGCACAGGCGCCCTCCTTTCCAGGTTGGCAACCCGGCTACAGCTCCTCCTGCTGGCGCGGGGGCTGCACCCTCCTTTCTCCAGCCTGGGCAAAGATTCCCACGTCCTGAGCTTGAATGACATCCTTTCTCCATCTCTCGGCTGTGACCCTGACTGTCCCCACTGTACAGAGAAGGAAACTGAGGCTCCGAGGTGTTAGAAGACTCCTCCAGTGCCTCACAGCTGGTGGGTGCGTGGCTGGGACTGGGAGCCACGGGCCCTCTGGCATTCGTTCTGCGAATATCGGCCATGTGCTAGCGCTGCACCCAGAGGGGTTACGGGAGCAGCCGGAAAACAGTGGAATCACCTTCAAGTCCGCGTTCCGGCTTATTAGATGCACGCTCTGGGAAAAGCTGGGACAGTGGCAGCTCAGGAGCCCGGGGTTCAGGCCAAGGACCTTAAATTTATATTCCAGGTGGGACGGGATGGGAAGTCCTTGGCACTCGGCAAAGTGCGAGGGTCCGACTTCCAGGGGCCATTGTGTCCAGAACAGACTGAGGTGTGGGAGGCAATGGGCAGCAGCAGGGGCCGTCCCAGGGTGAGAGGTGGCTCCGGGAGCAGAGGTGGGTCTGGCACGGGGCCCTCCTTTCGAAGTGGGGCCCTCGGCATTTGCGGCGCCCCTGGACAGCCCCTCGGGGACCCCTCTGCAAGCTGCCGCATCGCAGCTCCTCCTTGGGGGCAAGCGAGAGGTCTCCCCTGGGAAAGCCGGGAGCCAGGGACAGCTGGGCCTCCGGAACACCGGCTCCACTGCGTGCCTTGGCTCTGGTGTTGGGACCCCCGCGGAGGCGTGAGAGACGCCAGACAGAAGCGGGGGCGGTTCCCAGCTGCCTCCTGCGCCAGGACTTGTGGGGCAGGCGGGAGAGCCGTGCTCCGCTAGGTGCCTCCCCTCCCCAGCCCGCAAGCAACAGGCCCCTTCTCTGCGCTCCAGGCCTGGAGGGGCCTGCTCTGTGGTCACTGGGTTTCTCCCCTGACCCGGTCCCTCTCTGTTCTGCTTGAAGCCAAATCTTCCCAGCCTAGTCTGCTTTACCCTCCTCTACATCCATCCTGAGCTGGGGGTGGGGGGCTCATGTTACCCCCTTCTTGGGCTGTTCAGCTTCTTGTTCTGCCTTCTCCTCACCCCCACCCCAGTTTTGCCTCCTCCAGGCTGGCTGCCAGGCTCAGCCCCGAGGCTCCACTGCTTTTCTATGAGGTGACTCCTGTGCCCTGCTTGTGGAACCCCAAGCTGGCTGCATCCTGTCCCCTCGGTAGCCAGGGCTTCTGAAAGCAGGGAGGCCACTCCTCCTCCCCCTGGGTACCCCCTCCTCCCTTTGGCATTCCCTACACCTAGAATGAGCAGGGCAGCTCCAGGCAGAGTTTGGGGCCTGGTGGGCTCTGCTGACTATTTCCCATCAGGCACAGAGAGGCCTCGCTGAGCCAAAGACCTGCACACCAAGGTCCCAGGGTCCTGAGCTGGTGCCCTGAGCCACAGCCCGAAAAGAAGGGTGAAGGGCCCTCTGTTCAGGGGGCCTGGGCCCCTTGCTTCCAGACAACTGGGAGCAAGTCTCCCTGTCCTCAGAGCTGGGCAGATGACGTTGTGCACACAGATGACGCCGGTGACCCTGCGGCCTGCAGCTCTGCCTCCTTTGCGGATCTGTTGTGTTCTCATCCTCTTTTCCAGCTCAGAGAGAGGCGTCCAGCGGGCGGGCGAGGCACAGCCTGGGGAAGCAGGAGAGCAGTGCCGCAAGGGGGACAGAGAGAGCCAGGTGGCTCCTTCCGCTACCCCCAGAGAGACCAGCTCCCCGGAGGCCAGGGAGAAGCCAGCAAGGACGCACATCTCTGGGGCACCGACAGGAAGCAGAGCATTCTCATTGGCCCCTCAGTGAGCCTCAGGACACACTCAGGTCACTGCCGTCTTACAGAGGCGGGTCCTGGGGCTCAGAGGCTTCCCTGGCTGAGGTAACACAGCAGGCAAGTGACAGTGTCAGAATCCAGACCCAGTTCTGCACGTCTCAGGAGCCCAGGCCCCTCCCTGGAAGCCCCCCAGGGAAGCTGATGGAGGTGATTCTTCCCTAGCCCCCCCCCCCCGAGGCCCAGCCCCCTCCCCACCCATTCGCCTCTGGTCCCAAACGGTTTGGAAAATCCTGATGGGACCAGATGGTGGAGACAGATGGAGTGAAAAGCATCTCGGGGCTGAATTACACAAACAAACATTGATAAAGTGATTAAAACCTCAAGCCACCCCTTTCCCAAAGGCCCTGCCCACCCCCACTTGGAACACAGTGAGCCGGAAGGTGGGGGCCCTGGGGGTCTCCAGATCCCTGGAGTCTCAGCCCGACCCATCCCAGCTTCTGCCCAGCCTGCTCTCCGCCAGGGACCACCCCCGGACCAGAGCCCAGGGTGCAGCGCTGCCAGGAGCACAGCCCGGGAGGAGGAGCAGGGGCTGGCTGTTCCCGAGGGAGCTGGGCCACGAGGAACCCATGGCTGGGGGTGGGGGGAGTCCCAGAACTGGAGCCGCAGACCCGCAGTCCACAGGGCGGTAGAGGTACGGCCAGGCTCCCTGCAGGGAAGCCCCATTTTAGACGAGGGCCTCAGAGAGGCTGTCCAGGTCACACAGCAGCCTTGCCACCCCTCTGCCCTCCAAAGCAGGGCCGACCCCTGCCCCACCATGCACCCATGGTGGAGGGGGACACTGGGGCTGGTGCTGCCTCTGTAAATGGAAGCAGCAGAGAGGCTTAGGAGAGGAAGCCAGGGCAGAGCCTGGCGTGGGGCCTGCACACAGTCAGCGCCCAGCTCCTGCTGGCTCCGGTGGCTGGGGGCGGATTCTGGTGTTGAGAGAGCTACCGCAGAGCAGAGGTCTGGGGTGCAGGTCCTGCAGGCAGCGCCCCAAGACTGCCGGGGGATGGCCGCAATGCCCCTGACTCCCAGGCAGAGGCAGCTGAGCCCCGTGCCACGCCGAGTCGGGTGCCAGCGGCAGGGACAGCGGTGCCGCCAAGCTGGCCGCTCAGTGTGAGAGCACGGACCGCCAAGGAGGAAGAGCCAGCTTCCAACCCTGGCACAGCGTTTCCCCCGCTGTGGGGCCGTGAGCAAAACCTCTGCGCTCGGCCCTTCTGTTTCCTTCTCCATAAAACCCATGTTTCCAGCTGCAGCCTGGGCTCGCTCCCCGAAGCCCACAGACACCTGGAACTCAAGCCAGCCAGTGTCCAATACCCCCAGCCTGCCTGGGCCCAGGCTCCTCCCTCATCCACCAAACAAGCTCGGGGCCCTGCCACATCCGGGAGGGAGCACTCCCGCTTCCCTACCCTACACCTGCTCCCTTCCCGAGTCCCGCCCAGTGGACCTGTTCTGCTCCTCACACCTCCACCTGCTCCAAATCTCATCATCTCCCTTCCTCTGTGACCGTCCCAGGCCCCCCGCTGCCTGCCAGAGCAAAAGGACACTGGGGCCGGCGCCGCAGCTCACTAGGCTAATCCTCCGCCTGCGGCGCCGGCACCCCGGGTTCTAGTCCCGGTCCGGGCGCCGGATTCTGTCCCGGTTGCCCCTCTTCCAGGCCAGCTCTCTGCTGTGGCCCGGAAAGGCAGTGGAGGATGGCCCAAGTGCTTGGGCCCTGCACCCCATGGGAGACCAGGAGAAGCACCTGGTTCCTGGCTTTGGATCAGCGTGGTGCCCCGGCCGCAGCGCACCAGCCGCGGCGGCCATTGGAGGGTGAACCAACGGCAAAGGAAGACCTTTCTCTC